CTCCCCACCCCATATTCTAGTCCTAAACTTTTTTAATGTGTATTTGTGTGCTCAAGTGAAAAAGCCACACAGACTTATAAGGACAGGCAAGATTTTATTTCTTTGGCAATATTTCAAAGAACTGAGCAAATTTTCACTGTGTGAAAGAAGGAAAAAGGTGAATTCTGGCCAGCAGAGAAAGGCAAGTTAAAGCGACTGATGGAGAAAATCAAAGGAGGCATGAAAGTGTGTTGGGTATCTGTTCCTCCAGAAACTCCATGTGCCTTGGGAATAGTTATCCACCACTGCATGTACACAACATGGTGCGTTTTTGGTTTTTAGACCTTTAGTGGCCTTTGCAATCATAACAGCATGAAATAGTCATATAATACATTCCTGTATGAGTGATTGGATATTTTTAGAAGCTGTAAATACATTTGATAATGTAGCACTGTCGTCCCGCTGTTCATTGATTTGCTCGGGCGGGCACCAGTGATGTGTCTATTGTGAGACTTGTTACTGTGTTTGGCATATCGAATACACCACAGGTAGCTTGCCAGGCTCTGCCGTGCAGGCGAGATACTCTCGGTAGCTTGCCGGGCTCTCCAAGAGCAACGGAGGAATCGAACCTGGGTCGGCCACGTGCAAGGTAAACACCCTACCTGCTGTGCTATCACTCTCTTTTCATCTATTCTCAGTTGCATTAATTATGTAAAGATTTAATCATTATGTTTTCTATAATGATTTCCATTATTGTGCATTGCAGGAGAATATAGATTTGATAATATATTCTGCAAAATACTAATTTTAAGTAAACAAATAATTTTAAAAGTCTTGTACAATATGTTATTACTCCAGATAAAAGTTTGCTTTTTGTCATATTTACTTATTTTGTACTTTATTGAGGTAGCACGGTTATGATTATGTTCATACATATGCTTTTAGTATGCGACTTAATGCACGCCTACCACCACCAGAATGCTATAGATCCTCCTTTACTGTCCTTCTTTCACCATCATTCCCTCTTTTCTTTTCCCATCCCTCTATCCCCCTTCCAACTGCTTGGTAAATTCAATTTTCAGAGGCCAGGGATACTTTTCATTTGATATTGTCTATTTCCTTGGCTTGTTTCTCTTGTGAGATCTTCCTATGTTTGTCCTTCCTCTGACTTATTTAGCTTAATATGACATCCTCTAGTTCTATCCAAGTTGCACAAAAAGAAATATCTCATTTTTCCCCCTTATGCTAAGTGGTAATATAGTATGTATATGTACCACAATTTTAAATTCATTTATGTCTTTGAGTTATTTCCAGATCTTAGTTGTTGAAAAAGGTGCTGCACTGTACATAGGTGTGCATATATATATATATATATATATATAATATATACATATATATTATGTTTCCTTGGGATAGAGGTCTAGGAGTGGAATATATTTGGTCTGCAGCATCCCATTTGGATTTCTGGCATCACCATTGAATAAGTAATAGTTTAAGGACACATCTTAAATCATGTGAATTAACACCAATATTGCCTGCTTCTTGTTGTTGCTATTATTTTGGTAGGAATTTATCTTGAAAGTCTTGATGCCACAGGTCTACACCTGGTAGTACTCAGGAGGCTAACTGGAGCTGGGGGTTGAACTCAGTGCCTTGCACCTGGTATGTGCTTAGACCCACTAGGTTGTGCTCTACCACTTGAGCCATATAATAGTGTGAGAATTAATTTTTTTGCTATAAAATATTATAGTATTCAATGTAATTCTTTACCAAATGATACCTATGCCAACTGCTACTATTTCTAAGGCATATACTGCTTAATATTATTTGTAAGGTACAAAGTTGTTTTAAAAGTGTATATTTTAAATGAGCAGAGTACCCCATTCAATCTATACTATGTTTAAAATAATTCTATTATTTTATAATAAAATCTAAATAAACTAGTCTGTAAAACTCTAGAAAGCCCTAGAAAACTGGATAATAACCTAAATTCCATTAAATACATTGTCATTAGCCTAAACTGCTGACAATAGAATTAAGAAATTTACATATTTACTGAATTTAAATCACTGAACAAGTTTTCAGTTACTGTGATCATTTACTCAACAACCTTTAGATTTATTCCAAGTTCACATCAGGTTGGCCTCTAGGTGAAGCACTTACTTCATTGGTCCAAACTATATGTATGTTAGTGCTAGAGGCTGATGGGGATGGGAAAAGTCAATGAAACCTCTAGCAAAATGGAATCTGCCTATGTCCTGTACAGCTGCTGTCCACACCAGGAGGTGGATCGCAACAGCATGGCATATTGAACTTTTTTTTTATTAGGACTTACTCCACTTGGGATCTCATTTCCTCGAATACACTCAAGTCAACAGTTCAGTTCATATTACGTGAGTTTTATTTATTTTTTTTATCTAGATGGCAGAATAGGAAAAATTATGTGCTGGCGTGTGCTCAGAATACAGAGAAGGAACAAATAAAAACTGTTTCTAAAATCATAACGCATGTGTATTTATATGTAGTTGGCACATGAATCAGTACAAATAAAATTTTAGTGGCCAATGTAAAAGGGTTTGTACATTTACATCTGTTCTTTAAGAAAAAGTTGGTGACCTTAAAAAAGTTTATATTTTCCTCTCTTCATGGAAGAACTGTGAAAGATGTGTCTAAGTGATTTCTGACTATCTGACTGCTATAAAAAAAAAAGACTTAGAGACTTGGCTCATTGCCAGCAAATCTTTTTTCTCCATTATTGACTACTGTCTATTTTTATGAGCATTGACTGAACCACAAATACTTTAACAGCACAAGACACAATTTAATAGAAAGCACTAATGAGAGAAATGTCTCCTACATCCTACAAGTAATGAAACAGACTATCAGGTTCATGTTTTATTTGATTATAGTGTTTGCATTTAAATTTTTTACTAATACCTAATTATTCTGAATTAATTAATTGAGTTGCAAGCTTTGCAAATGTACAATTATATGACACACTTAGCTATCAAGTATACAATATTTGTATTATGCACCATTCATCATGTTTATGTTATTTTCTATGTCCGTTATGATGTGGACTCAAATGGTAACAACCATTAAACTAGTGAAGATAGGGGCATGTATATACTTGTGCAGAAGTGAAAGCTTTAAGATGATCTTGTTCCAATATATTAATGGAGAATTAAAAATGTTACTGTGACTTTAAATATACTCAAGTAATTCTTATCACTTAAAATGTATGTGAATATCTGGGGAATGGGACTGGGTCAGAACATATTATATGTGGATCTAACCTAGAGGTTCTTTCTATTAAAAACATTTTCCTGAATTTCTCTGCTTTGTCAGATGGTCTCTCCTCTATCTTCCATAAGCCTGTAATCTCTCTTTTTTTTTTTTTTTTTTTTTGCTTTTTGGGTCATACCCGGCGATGCTCTGCACTCAGGAATTACTCCTGGTGGTGCTCAGGGGACCATATGGGATGCTGGGATTCAAACCCGGGTCGGCCACATGCAAGGCAAACATCCTACCCTCTGTGCTATCGCTCCAGCCCCCAAGCCTGTAAACTTTTGTGAATTTTTTTTCATTGCTCTGGTTAATTTTACAGGAAATATTTATTTTTCTAACTTACTATCTTTGTATGTCTCTAAGATATAAAGAAAAGAAGGTAGGAATAGAGTGAATGGAATGAAATCAACAGACTATAGCAGTTGAGAAACAATGCTTTAATGTTGTCTGTGATACAGGAGAGATGCTAATCTCTTGAAGACTGGAAGGGGCAAATATTGAAAAGTGAGTTTAAAGATGGTGGTGAAACGTTGGAAATATGCAGGCGGGAAAGACCAATGAAATTTAAAATGGAGTTGAAAGCTAGGTATATATCTGAAATCACACATTTGCAAGAATTTTATGGTTGCTTGAAATTTCTCTCACATTTCAGGGATCTAGATCCAGCCTGGGTTTGGGTGGATGGAAGCAGGAAACACCACTGTGAAAGGAAATTAGACTAGTGAGAGAGATCTTGGTCGGATCAATACCAAATACAAGTCATAGAGCTGAAGAATACAATAGCTGTGAAAAACACACCAGAGGGCTCCACAGCAGATCTAATGTAGCAAGAAAGGATGAGTATGGTTTAAGATAAAACAGTTAAACACACACACAGACACAGACACAGACACAGACCCACGCACACACACATACACACAAGGCAACACACAAGGACACACAGATACAGAAGCAGCAAACATAATTGAAGAAGACATAAGGGACCTCATAACCATATCAAATAGCATAAATATGAATTTCATGGGTTCTGGGAGGAAGAGAAAGAGAGAGAGAGAGAGAGAGAGAGAGAGAGAGAGAGAGAGAGAGAGAACCATTTGTGTGTTCAAGTTGAACTCAAAAGGAAGAGAGACAGAATCCTTGACTTGTCTCTGGGGTATAGTGTCATACAGAGGGGACAAATTACTATGTAATTATGGATCAGGGAACTTAAGACTCCAAGATAGTGGACCAACCCCATGGTTTGGCCATAACAATGAGTTAAAGAGTAGACAAGGTGAAAGTTCATTGGCATATAGAGGAAGCTGTGTTGCATCAGTTTATGGAATGAGGGGACATGAATTGGAGGTACTTTTGGGATTTGATTTTTTTATGGTGTCAGGGATTGAACCTTAGAGCTCAATTTTGGGGAGAGGGCTCTTATAAAACATTGAAGTTTTATCATGCATTGTTTTTCTGTGACTCATTATTTTTTTAATTTTTATTAGTGAAGCACCATGAGGTACAGTTGTAGACAGATTTTTTGCTTGGGTTTCGATTATACAATGATCAAGTACTCATCCCTCTACCAGTGCCCATTTTCCACCACCACTGATCCCAGTATCCCTCCCACCCCCCTCATCCCCCTTGCTTCCCTGGCAGGATATCCCCTTTGTTCTCTCCTTTTGGGTGCTGTGGTTTGCATTGGGTGGCAATCATGTTTGGTCTATAGTCCACTTTTAACATGCATCTCCCATAAAAATATGGAACGCTTCATGAATTTGCGTGTCATGCTTGAGCAGGGACCACGCTAATTTTCTCTGTATCTTCCAATTTTAGTATGTGTACTGCCAAAGTGTACTACTTTGGACAAACTGGCAGGTTACCGAATGTAGCCTGCCCACATGGCAGAGTCTGGCAAACTCCCCGTGGTGTACCCAATATGCCAAATACCAGTAACAATGATGGGTCTCATTCTCCTAAAGAGCCTTGAATATAATCTCAGGGCTAGGATGAAGGAGACATTACTGGGGCTTGCTGGAGGCAATCGACGAATAACAGGATGATTTGTGATTTGTGATTTTGTGACTGCCGAAGTGAACACTCTGTGACTTATTTAATTTGACATTATGGACTGTGAGGGACAGCCAAGTTGTTAGATATTCCTATTCTTTTTTTTTTTTTATTTAATTTGACATTATGGCCTGTGAGGGACAGCCAAGTTGTTAGATATTTCTATTCTTTTTTTTTACGACTGAGTACTATTCTATTTTATACATATACATAACATATGCACATAAAAATATGCACTTTTGTAAACCCTCTGACTATGAATGAACCTTTAGTTTGTTTCTGTCTCCCATAGTGTAAATAATATAGCAGTGAACATGGAAGTGAAGGTATATTTTTGAGTTAGTGTTTAAGTTTTTCTTTTTAATTCTCATAAGCAGCCCAACAAGCTACCGAGAGTATCTCGCCCACACAGCAAAGTCTGGCAAGCTACCTGTGACATATTCAATATGCCAAAAACAGTAACAACAAGTATCACAATTTGTTGTGAGACGTTACTGGTGCCCTCTTGAGCAACTCAATGAACAACGAGAGGACAATGACAATGAACAACGAGAGGACAATGACAATGACCATGATAGAAGGTGAAAAAATAGCCATCACCCCAACTTCTCATCCCCACCTTCTTTGTCGCTTAGTTATACCCCAGATTTTTTTATTGTTGCAAAAATCACTTCATAGAAGTGTCTCCGTGGAATTCAGGTCTCCTGTGTTGCCCTCATCCTTGATGAATTTTGGCTGAGAATAGCACTCTTGGTTACAAATTTTTAAAATTTGATTTTTTAATAAAAATCCTGATTAAAAAACTGATCCTCTAACTTTGAATAATTTTTCTGAGTGGTATGCATATAAACATAATCTCATCAATAAAACTCTGTTACTGAATTGGGGGGAGAGTACAGTGGTTAGGGTAGCAGTCTTGCATGTGGCCAACCTAAGTTCAATCCCTGGCATTGGATATGATCTTCTGATTATAACCAGGAGTATTCCCTGATCATAGAACAGGAACAAGCTGTTAGCACCACTAAGTGTGGCCCAATCCCCCAAAATAAAATAAAATAAAATAATTATTGCTAGATCAATTCTCACTCTTTTGTAGACAATCTACTTTTGTAGACAATCTACTTTTGTGGAGAAAATATATATGTATGTGTAATCACATATATATATAAAAGCATGCATGTCTGTAACTATAATTATAGCTCTAATGAGAGTCAGATGTCTCCTTTTATGCATTTGATGTGCTCTTTCCTTTTTATTTATAGGGATCACACTAGTGGTGCTCTGTTGAGGCATCATGTGGTGCCAGGAGTCAGGACTGAACTCAAGGCCTTAAATATGCTAGAAATGTACTTTCCCCTTAAATTATCTCTAATTTCTTGATGAGGTCTTCTAATGTGAAAATCATGTTTTACCTAATATCCTTGGAAATTTTGTTTATTCATCCATTATTTTTTAAAAATATTTTTATTTTTCTGAGAGGGACAGACATAGAAGGACTGCACTCATTTTTGGAGTATAAAACAACATAACATGAGGCTGACACCTAAGGATAGTAGATACACGGGACAGATAAATTGTTCCATAGCTGGAAGCCTGCCTCATGAGCAAAGGGGAGAAGGCAGCTGGAATAGAGAATGGATCAGTAAGAAAAAGATGCCTGGAGGAATTGGTCGGGATGGGAGATGTGTGCAGAAAGTAACTAAAGGGCCAAACATGATAACCTCTCAGGGTCTGTATTGCAAACCATAATGCCCAAAAGTAGAGAGAGATTATAGGGAATCATGTCTGCCAAGGAGGCACAGGGAGGGTGGAAAAGGGGGGATATACTGGTGATATTGGTGGTGTGGAAAGTGCACTGGTGGAGGGATGGGTGTTTGATCATTGTGTGATTGTAACCCAAACATGAAAGCTTTTTATAACTATCTCACGGTGAGTCAATAAAATTTTTAAAAAAATAAGAAAAAGAAAAAATATATATATTTTTCTGCTTTGAGCTTCCTTTTGAATGAGTACCAGATTTTCTTAATTGCTTCTTCATAGCAATTCACTTTGAATAAGTCATTTCACTTCAATACCTCCAAAGCATAGAAGTTTTGTTGTTGTGTTGTTACATTTTGAGTTCTGGCTGATTCAGGACAATGATATAATACATGCTATGTTATGAGAGAATGAACACATTTTTCTGTCCTTTTGTCTTTATGCTTTACATGTGGGATTTATTTTAGTTACAATTTCAAGTTTTGCATTATGTTTTAATTTTGGTGTTCATATTTTAAACTCACAAGAAATATTTTTCATTTTATGTAATTGGTCCTTTCTCAAAGAAGCATGTTCTTTGAATGCCCATATTGCCTCAGTTCTTTCTGAAGATACTCTTGGAACTGTGTAAGCTTTCTCCTCCATTTCGTCAAATGACAAATTTCCTTATGCATCTGTTTGTGCTGCTTGACGGGCTCAAATCATACAGTAGATTCAATTCTCAATGTTTTTAGTGGTAGAACAGTTTTGTCAAGAATTAGACTAAATTTGCTCCAATTCTTTCTTGATGATTCCCTTCCACATATGCTTTAAGAAAGATTTGGCTGAGTACAAAATCAGGTAATGAATGATAGTCTCTATAACCAATTGTACACAAACTTCTCAAATCTTACTGAACACACTTATTCCCTCTTAGGGGTCTTATTTAACACATATTCTAATGTAGTACGTCTTAAGTAGAGCCTGAAATCATGTATTTCTCATGTACAATTCTCTAGCCTTTTTCTTATCAATTCTCTAACTTCTTTTTTTTTTTACATTTTCCATTTTATTTTATTATTTTTTATTTTTTTATTAGTGAAACACCATGAGGTACAGTTATAGACTTACAAATTTTGTGCTTGGGTTTCAGTTATACAATGATCAAGTACCCATCCCTCCACCAGTGCCCATCATTCACCACCACGGGTCCCAGCATCCCCCCACACCCCATCCCCCCCCGTCCCACCCTGCCTTTGTGGCAGGGTATTCCCCCTTGTTCTCTCTCTCTTCTTTTGGGTACTGTGTTTTGCAAGAGAGGCATTGAGTGGCAATCATGTTTGGACTACAGACTACTTTTAGCATGCTTCTCCCACCCTGGGAGGGTCCTCACAACACCCTTTATTTGGTGCTCTCTTCTCTATCTGAGCTTCCTTTTCACCTAGCACGTGTGGCTGGCCTTTAAGCCATGGAGCAAAATTCCTGGTACTAATCGCAGCCATTCCTGGGTGTTAGTCTCCCTTTTTTGTTGCTTTGTGTTCCCCAGATGAATGCAATCTTTCTGTATCTATCCCGCTCTTTCTGACTCATTTCGCTAAACATGATACTTTCCATGTAGTACCACTTGTATGTAAATTTCATAACTTCATCTTTTCTAACAGTTACATAGTACTCCATTGTGTAAATGTACCAAAGTTTCTTTAACCAGTCATCTGTTCTTGGGCACTCAGGTTTTTTCCAGATTCTGGCTATTGTAAAGAGTGCTGCAATGAACAAACAATTGCAGATGTCACTTCGACTATACCTTTTTGCCTCTCTGGGATATATTCCCAGGAGCTATAGCTGGGTCAAATGGCAGATCAAATTCTGATTTTTTGAGAATCGTCCATACTGTTTTCCAAAAGGGTTGGACCAGCCGGCTAACTTCTTTCTTATCTTTGAGGGTTTCCTTAAATGGGTATGCCCTGGCATGCAGATTGTTGGACATACGTAATTCCAATTTGATATAGAATTGGGAGGATTCATCTTAATTCCACTCAGATATATCCTACAAGAATAGTCTATGATGGCCATGGCCTAGATCATTAGATCAGATCATTAGATCATTAGTTGTTTCATTAGATCAGCAAGTGGATTTCCTAAAACATTTGTTCCATGGACAGTAAATATGTGCGGTATAGTTAACAAATCCTTGTCCTCAAAAATCAGAAAACTGGGTGATGGAATAATAAAGGTAGCAACTTCCCTGGTAGCAAAAACCAACAATGTTTATATCACATTGAACCCCCCCCCCTTTTTTTTTCACAAGAATGTGAGTTGCTCAACACATGAGCATGGTAAAAAAAATCAGAGGGAAAGTTACTATAGAGTTAAATCTGAGTATGTGGGCAGCTAAGGTACATGCCACTTTTGAGAATAAAAATAGTGTGTACCTTATTAAAAGCCTTCTGACAGGGTCAGCAGCCTAGTCACAGAATACCTACCAGAACAATTTCAATTTTAATAGGTTTTACTATGTATTTCATAAGCAGTCCCATTGAAATTGAGTCATCAAAGCTCCCAGTACCTCCAAGACAGATTTTAGCCTGAGAGCTTGGAGTAATTATCCCACTGGATGTTAGCCTGTGTAGCTATTTCAGCCTCGTTCATCATTTCAAACAGCTACATACTCTGCCTGCTAATTTCTTTGGATGGATTAGCTGCTCTCACTTGTCTATCTTTTTTTTTTCTGGGGGGGTGAAATATTGCCTTCTTCCCATGTTTTAATAAGCTGAGCAGGCATGCTCCACTGCACTGCTCCTGACTCCTATTTCTTTCAGCTCCAAGAATGATCTTCTGGGGGAAGAGCTGGGTATAAATGTGAAGGTGAAAACTTGGCAACTACCACCTGCAACCGCAAGCCAGTTGCCTTCAGCCAGGGCCGATACCTCAGTGCCAAGGCTGAGCTGGTCTGCATCTGTCCACTATAGTACATTGAAAGTTGCCCCACACCTACTGCATGACTGTATTACTTACCTTCTGCCTCTTTTAGACTTTGATCTTTTTTCTCCA